TTCATTAACTGTTACATGCTCAGGAACAACCTGGAAAATAGTGGAAAGTGTAAGAAATGTAAAGAATATCAGATATTGTTTACAAGGAGTTGAAAACGCAGCGTAGCACTGTGTGAAGGGCTGGGAGCAGACCTGGGGTGGCGAGAAGGTCTAACAGGACAAGAAACTGTCTTCTTCAGGAGAGACTCCATTCCTGTCTCTCTTCTAACATTCACACTCTCCTTTTCCAGAAATTTGGCATGTACTGGCCCCATTTTCCAAGACCAAGAATGTGGAAAAAAAACGACTCGATAGATCTTCCTATCCCTGAGATTCCTCCATTTTGTAATCAGAAATTATCATTTCAAGTATACTAAATACCACAAAGTTATTAACACCTAAGTATGTATCTTCATTGAGTATGTCATTTTCTGATATTTAATAATTCTGAGCCTCAATATCTTGAGTCATATGCTTTGTACTTGAAAATCATGCTTAAATAAAGCTTGAGATTTAAAAACCACCAAACAAACAAAAATAATATTGAAGGAATTTGGAACAGGTGAGAAAGACAGAAAAATCTGGCCCAGAGAGTCTTGGAAGCAATTGGCACAGATGCAGTGGTGGAAGCCTGTTGAATTTTAAGGGGTCATTAGACCACATTCCTCTTCCTCTGACTTAAGAATCGACAGAAGAATGAATAAAGATGCCAACATATGCAGACCAATATATCTGTTCCATTACTATCAAATCTTGCCTAGTGAATGTGGCTTGGATCTGTTGCTATAACTGGGTTTCCTAAAACTCTCCTTTTTGGTTTGAAATTACTTATGTCATTCCCAAGGCCCAGGTTAAGCTTAGCATATAGGAGAGAGCTGAGTGAGTATATGATTCCCACAGGTTGATATGAAAAGAGATGAGAGAAACCACATGGGAACCACGGGTTTTAACATTTTAACCTCTTCCTGTAAATAACTGTGTTAAAATGGATGGCAATCCCGTGGGTGGTCAGTAAGATATCAACACAAGTGTTGTTGGGGACTTCCTAGAAGTCTTTCTAAGGGGAGGGTAACTCAGCTTTGATGATTACCCCTTTGCTCTTGTTTCCTTTTATCTTCCTGCTGCCTAAGAATGTGGACATGATGACTGGTGCACCCAGCTGCCATTTTGGATCATGAAGTGATCTTGAGGATACAAGATATCTGCTGAGGATGACAGAGCAAAAAGATACATACTTAGGTGTTAATAACTTTGTGGTATTTCTTTAGTATACTTGAAATGATAATTTCTGATTTTCTTTGACCTGGTTGAGAAATAAATTTTTAGCATTTTTTAGCCAGCTGCCATTTTGGTTTCAGTTATATAGATCCAATACAGTCCTACCTGGAAACAGGATATTGTGAAAGCTTGTGCGCAGTCTCCGTGGTGAGTGAGAATTAGAACTAACCAGAGTAGTAACCTGGTAGAGGTCTTCATGGGTTGGGGCCTCAGCTGAGTGACTCATGAACCCACAAAGTAGGTACTTCTTCCTCCCCTGGTAACCTGGAAACAAGAAGAGACAGAACATGGATTCTTCAAGGATTTGGAGCCAATCAGGCAGATGTCTCAGGATGATACAGCGCAGCCCATTGTCTAGCCATCATCTGTGGAATTCAGTCTGCCTACCATTTACCCTCGTCTCCAGGTGGATATGTTATCCTGGCTGATGACATTATGTATTTCATTAAATTACATTTCTTTCTCTGGCACCAGTGAATACAAAACCACAATGTCTTTAAAAACATATCCAGCACTCATGTCCCAAGTTTGTTCTTTTCTTCTTCAGCATCACATCTCTGAAAGCTATAGAAAAATCACTTATTTTGACAGGAATGATCTTTTTGTGCGACACTAATTGAAATGTTGTTCATGTTCAGCAGATGTCTGAACAGAAAATGTCCAATTTAATTTGTTAGCGCCTTCCCAAAAGGCACTGCTCACTTCGGGGATGTTTGGCTAGACATCATTCAGTTCCATTCACTTAATTGGAGATTCATTCACTGTATTTTTGTTGAGGCTCTGGTTCATGCATTTCTCTTAACATGGCTCTCTGGCCGCCCTGTTTTAATCAGCCATTGGACCCTTTTGTATTTCTTTCCAGCAACTTTCACATAACCTGACTATTTTTTGATAAAGGAGCTGAACTTGTTGTTCCTCTTGGTTTGGTTGTCTTAGCAGACTTCAAGCTGATCCGCTGGGGTCAGTTGAGTGAACAGAATCATCCCCCCTCAAACAAGCCCCCCCACTGCCTGGTCTTCCTTCATGCCAATAACTTCACTTCCATTCCACTCCATGGTCACACCTGGTCCTTAACATTGTCATTACTTGGAGACCTCTCACTGCCTGATCACAACTTCCTGAACATTTACCCGTAGACCCACAAACCCATCCAAAAACCCTCTTCAAGAATCTCACACCTTCAGGCTTCACTTTCTTTCCTTTGCAGCTTGTTTCCTCAAATTCTAAGACTTTGAGCCCAATAATGTCAGCATCCTCCATCATCTCTCAGTGGAGAGGTTACTTAGCTGCTTTTGCGGTGGAGTACAGCTTGTGACTAGGCTAACCAAGGTGAGACAAGGTAGTAAAGTTGAGACCTCATCCCAGAGAAACTTGATGCTTAGCAAATGCTGAATGCTCATCACCTCAGCTTCCAGGCATGGGAGAAAGCTTGGCCTCCCCAGGAAAAGAACAATCAACTTAACCATTGGCAATGCTTTGGCTAAGTGTTCCCAAAAAGCCATGTGTTGAAGACTTGGTCCCCAGACCATGGTGACCATTAGTAGGTGAGGCTAGTGGAAGTTAGGACATTGGGGGCGTGACCCTGAAGGGGACTTTGAAAGCTTGGCCCCTCCGTGCCCTCTCTCTTTTGCTTCCTGGTTGCCATGAGGTGAACAGCTTCGGTCCAGCATGCACTCCTCGCCATGAGGTTTTGCCTTGCCACAGGCCCAAAAGCAACTGGGCCAACAGACCACAGACCGAACCCTCCAAATCTGTGAGCCAAAATTAACATTTTCTCTTTTTAATCGATCATTTCAGGTATTTTGTTATGGTAATGAAAAGCTGACTAACATACAATCTACTCTATTCTCCTATATACAATTTAAAAAAAAAAGCTACTTAATGATTTAAATCATTAGTTGTAGATCCCCGGGTGATTCACGTATTAGAATGAACTGACAAGAACTTTAAAGATCTTTTGGAAAAAGTAGGAAAGAATGGAAGGATATATAGGAAAAAATAGAAAATAGACACTTTTGAAATATGAAGGAAAACCAAATGAAATTTTAGAACTGAAGATACAACATCTGAAAGAAAGAATAAATTGAACTGGTCTAACAGCAAAATGTGAACTGCAGAAAAAGGGATCAGTGAATTTGAAGATGAACAACAGAAAGAATAATACATAGAAAAAAATCTCTACTGTGTCAGTAATGTATGGGACAATGGTCAGTGTTCTAACAAAGTGTAATTAGAGTCCTCAAAATAGAAAGAATAGTGAGAAAATGGGACAAAAATTAGTTAAAAAAATATGGCCATTTTTCCCTCAAATTTAATAGAAAAAATATTCATTAAATCCATACATTTTATCCCAGGCAGGATTAAATATGGAGAAAAAAACATACCTACATACATCAGAAAAAAAAATAGAAGAGAAAAATAGGAAATAAGAATGATAGCAGAATCGGGTACAGTGGTGCACACCTGTAATACCAGTGGCTTGGGGGCTAAGGCAGGAGGATTTAGAGTTCAAAGCCAGCTTCAACAACTTAAGCAAGGCCCTCAGCAACTTAGCCAGATCCTGTCTCTAGATAAAATACAAAAACGGGCTGGGGATGTGGCTCAGTGATTAAGTGCCCCTGGTTCAATTCCTGGTACTAAAAAAAGAAAAGAAAAAGAAAAAAAATAAAAAAAGAATGATAGCAGACTTATTAAAGATAATGCCTACCCAAATGATATTTTCAAAGTGCTGAAATGCAATTAGGCAATAAAAATGTAAAAAACAAAAACAAAAAAAAAACAAAATTAGAAAATTGGAGGAGAAAAAATTGTATTCACAGATGACAAGACTGTATGTATAAAATATGCAAAGGAACCTACAAAATAGCAACAACAATAACAAACACTTATTAACTCCATTAAGTGAATTTACCATGGTAGCAGAATACAAGATTAATGTGCAAATATTAATTGAATTTCCATGCTTAGATAATGAAAGAAACATGTCATTTGCAGTAGCATAAAACATCCAAGAATGTATTCAAAGAAACATGTCTAAGACCTATACAATAAAAACCACAAAACACCAAAGTCAATTAAAAAAGACCTAAATAAATGCTGGTGAAAGAGTGGGTAGGAACCAAGAGGGAGATGATGGGTGGAGATAGAATTTTGGGGTTATTGCTACCGTCTGTCCTAGGGACATTTAGGAAATTCTTCATACATTAAAAAAGTTTTCACTTGGTGCTTTAGGGGTCTTGAGAGAGAGGGGTGAGCTCGAGGGCTTACAAGACTAGAAATTCTGACCAACTGCTAGCCTCAGTCCCATATTCTCATTTCTGAATAAGGACTAGAACTGTTTTCTTTCAAAATTGATAAGCCTTTGGGAGTGGATGATCCATCAATTTAGCCAACCAGCTGTCCAACATATATCTTCTGTTTTCTTTTGGTTCATTTGATAGGGGAGCAGAGAAGAGCTTAGTTTATGTCTACTCAAAGATCATGGCCATGACTGCTGGTAGTGTAGGAACTAAAGACTTCCTATTTGTTATTTTTAAATTAATTTTTATTGGCGCATTATAATTATACACAATAGAGGAATTCACTGTGACACATTCATATATGCACATAGGTTGGTCAATTTCTTTCTTACTTTCTTCTTCTTTTTTTTTTTTTGAAAAGCAGGAAAGGAACTTGAATTAGTGTAGCTACACCTGGAAGACAAGGGGTCCACATTGGAGCCCCAACTTCCAGGGGCTGACAATAACTGAGGCTTTTACAGAAAGGCAGTGAGGGCAAGGGCTGGGAGTTGGCACAGCTGGAGGCTTTTCACAGCTGCCAGGGCAGGGGATCTTGATCAGGTGTGGTCTGTCCATCATTCTCGGATTAAGAAAGTTACTATTGCCTGAGGGACTTTAACTCATCACAAGATATTTATCAGAGCAGTCCTTGATCCTGGAATCTAAGGTGACTTGGAGTAAAGGAGTCGGGATGCAAAATGGAGGCAGAGAAGCCAAGTCATTAATCCTGCTTTTAGCCACCCAATGGACTTTGGCAGGCAAAGTGAAAAGTCCAAATCCTTGTTCTAATTCCTCCCTGTCTTTTGTCCATTTTTCAATCTTCAGGGAATTATGGCTTTGGAGGTTGCTGGGCTTGGTGATAAACTAGTCTTTACACAAGGACTGAAACATAGAGGTGAAAAAGCGTCAGATGCTTAAGCCTAGAAGTAGAAGTACCGTCATAAATTTGTGAAGCAGAAAACAAAAGGAGTCTAAGTCAGAAGATACCTAACTAAGTAGTTAGTGGTTCTTTCTTGTAGTGGTTCTTTCTTGTTTTAAATAGCTCTGTGAATATAGATTACTAGAAAACATATTTAGGATCAGAAAAAAAAAATAATAACCTTTTACTTGTTCTATCTAAGCAGAGGCTGGACACAATGGCTCATGTTGTAATCCCAGAGGCTCGGGAGGCTGAGGCAGGAGGATGGAAAGTTCAAAGCCAGCCTCAGCAACTTAGCAAGGCCCTAAGCAACATAGTGAGACCCTGTCTCTAAATTAAAAAAATAAAAAATAAAAAGGGCTAGGGATGTGGCTCAGTGGTTAAGCACCCCTGGATTTAATCCCTGGTACCAAAAACAAAAAAACAAAAAACAAACAAACAAACAAAAAAAACCAGAGGACACTTGTTTGAACTATGAGTCCTGCTTTCCATGGGGAGGTTCTTCAGGTAGAGAGCTTTCCTGGTAGAGGGCTTCAGGGTTAGGCAATCATGCATAGGAACCCCATTTTCATAAGGTTTAGGCTTTTCTTAGTTTTGGTAGGGCTGACACAAGAGCACATCTTCAGTTATATTTAAAGGACCACTGTGTTTCCCCTTTAATGGTCTATGCATGACAGCTCTTTGCCTTTTCTTCCACACTTGTATTAGTACTTTTGTCTTTGGTTATATCTCTCTGCATAGTGATAAAGACCAAATAGGTGATCCCTATCTCGGCCAAAAATCAACCTCTTTCCTTCCTACTGTAAAGGTTCACTGAAGCTCTGCAGGAGTTACTTTTAAGAACTTTTGAGGAGACTCTCGGATCCTTCAGAATTTGGTCAATTTTGTTCCCTAGTACCTCCCTTTTCCCTCTACTCTCCCTCCTTCTAGTCCCCTCATCTACTGGTCTGCCTTTTATTTTCATGAGATGCCCCCCTACACACTTTTTTTTCCCCTTTCTTTTTCTCTCTAGCTTCCACACATGAGAGAAAGCGTAA